ATGAGCTAAGAGTTGGGACTATGATTTTGATTTCCACATTTTAGGTGCAATAAATAGACGTCAAAATAGTCAAATTCTTCAGTTGTTCCATGAATGATATTGCAGAAGGGTTATAAGAACGACTCTGTGAAGTTTTTAAGAGAAAACAAAAGGTCTTGCAACCCATTTCAACAAAATCAAAGTTCTTTTGCAACTAGAAGCTTAAAATGGATAAACAAACTATCAGAAAGTAATTGACAAGTAATAATCACATAACAAAACAGCTACAACAAAAACTAGATGTCTAAGACAATTGAAAACAAGTGATCAGTTATTTTTACAAAATTTGTTGCTTTGATTTTAAACGAAAAGAAAATCAGAGGGGAAAAAAGAGACAGAAAAATACCCAAGAAAGAAAAAAAGAGAGGACCTACTAAGGCTAACAAAAAAATAGCTCGCAAGAGCAAGACTAAGGAGCGAGCGCTGTTGCCTGCCAGAGGCTTATGCTGTGGGCATTCGCCTCATAATTCAAGCCTTATGCCCCAACAAAGGCACTCAAAGTGTAAGCTTCGACACTTCTAGTGATCTCCGCTTAAGATGCAACTTCATGCGCTTTTGAAAACTCTGGTTAAGCTTCTAAAAAGAGGTAAGCTTTAACGCATCTAGTGATCTCGGCTTAAGATGCAACTTCATGCGCTTTTGAAAACACTGGTTAAGCTTCTATAAAGAGGTTTGGCCTACCTTCAGAATTACTGTACTGTCAAATATTCATATAAGATTACAAAGTACAAGCCCTATGTTATTTTACCGAGACTTTGGAGACTTTGAGAGATGTCTAAGTTGGATACCCGTAGAATAACTGTTGTAGTACTTTACAGTTCATGATTAGGCCTATGATTGGTTCATGTTAATAAAATGTTTATAAACACTTAAAGTCACATTTTATTACTACCCACTGATTCACCACTTATTGGCATTATCTATATAATTTAAACCGTTTATAAACACTTCGCATACATGCTTTAATTTGAGGAGTACCCTCCATGACTCCATTTGCTGCCCTTTTCTTCAAGTTTGTATTGTCTATGTAGGGCTGATGACGAGCCTATAGATCCAAAGAAGGAACTTGAAGAGCGGTGCAAGGCACCATGTACACGGCCACTTAGAGAGTATCAGGTGATTTCTGAGCTCATTTCTCCTCAGATATTTTGTTCTCTTTTTTAATTTTTGGTTACTTTTGTGGCCTTCTGGCCATGCGATCACTTAATATGTAATGTTGCTAACTGTACACATTACTTTATTTTTCGTTTGTCCCTTTCCTCTTCTTTTTCCTTTACATTTTCTCACTACTTTGGTCCTTCTCAAGCAATTTTCTCTTGAGGCATCAACTTATTTGCCATTGGGTCATTCGTTTCGTCCCTCGTCACCACAAAGTCACTGAGCAATTTGGTATGAGATTTCCTGATTAATTGGCTGTCTGATGAATGTACACAAGCTTTATGAATGTACTAATTTCAATTTTTTTATAATGGTTTGTTTTATCTCAACTTTTAAACATTCCCGTCCAGTAGTTGCTGGATGGCACCCATGTACAGTTTGTGCAGTTCATGACATGCAATCACACAAGGGACGAGCATAGCTCATACCTATGCTCTTTCAATATTACTTATAACGCTTCTGTCAAATTGCAAATCTAATTTGAAGATTCTGATAGGCGTGTGCTAAAAGGATTCAAGGGGATGAAAGTGGGAACAAACACTGTACTGGACAGTACTTTGATTATTGGCGTTGTGTTGACAAATGTGTAAGTCTCATTTCCTCTGCCTACATATTTTTTCCCTCTGCCTTCTTTAGGGCAATGATTGAAATTTTGTTGTACTGATCTGCTGCTGATATGCTTCTCAAACACAGGTCGCTACTAAGCTGTTTTCTTATCTGAAATAACAGTGCATGACCTCACTGGTATAAAATCTCTGGATAATGCTCTCGTTTTATTCAAAACCAAACTTTTTATATTATTTTGTTATCAGTACAAATTAATTGTGCTTGTAACTTGTTAGCAGCCACTTAGCTCTGTGGAATTTTGAGATATCAAGTCCTGAGTAGGTTTAATAAAACAAAATTTATGGAATTGAGTTTTGTATGCTTTTGCATGTAAGAAGTATTCTATACATAGTGCTGGGAAATTTATCCACGGCATTTCACATGCACAGTATTGTGAAAGAGAACGAACACGAGTTTTATCCTCTTGGCATCACAGCTCTCTGTAAATTTATTTATCTGGGGTTATTGAATTGAAACTCATAGCAGTAAATCTTATGTTTGGATAAAATGAAATTTGAATGGGATGAAAAACTTTGATTGAGTTAAAGCTGTTAATTATACGCTGTATGAATCCTACTGTTGAATTATGAATAATAGAACTTCAGCGTCTTTCTCGTTCTTCTTATGAAGTTGGACATACTGTCAATGGCCACTACAATGATTTTATTTATCCTGAGTTTATTGGTCATTTGAGTGACCAGTTCTCTCATTGCGATCGCATCTATTCTTGGTTTCTCTCAGACAAGTCTCTTTTGTGGCGTCTTGCACAGGGACAGAATTGTATCTGTGCTCTCTTAAATTGAGCAAATAATAAAAATTCCCATTTCTTGATTAATCTACCATTTTATACTTTAATTAAGGATTTGTTCAG